AAAAAAAAAAAATTAATGATTTAAATTCTCCTAGGACTTGTGTTTATAACTAATTAAACCTCACAAAAATGAACTACTCAAAATTTCTTATAAACCGAGAAAATTAATGAAATTCCCTAATAAAAAGAAAATGAAAGAACTGTCTCTTCCTCTCTGATGCCTGAAGATAGCAAAATGTTAAATGAGTAAGGATATGTACTTAGGAGGAAGAAGAAAAATGGATAATGATATAAATTAAACTTATTCATAAGAGAGGTGGAAGGTACATCAGGCAAATGAAACTTCATGCTATGCAAATTTATTGAAAAATAAAATTAAAAAAATGTACACTCATTACAGTCTGTATTTTTCTATTTATGAAATATTCATGATCACAGAGTCCAAAATAACTAAAACAGACATGTCAAGTATTAGTTTTTCTATTTTTCATAATAACAGCCTCACTTTTGTCAAATTTATCATATTCCAACCCTCCAACCTTTATCCAGTATCTTTGGTAAGTCATTAGATATTTCAAGTTAAATCCTTTCTTGTAATTCTTTATTCTTGGATGAATGTTGTGTTAATCTGCTACATATAATTTTATCAAGTCCAATACTCTTACCAGAGAGAGTTATGATACACTGTATGAATAACAATCTTTTGCAACAACAGAGCAATAGTAATCTAAGTTTTTTTTACAAAAAAAAAAAAAAAAAAAAAAAAAAAAAAATTGATTTAAATTCTCCAAGGACTTCTGCTTATAAATAATCTAAACATTAAATCTTACAAAAATTAACTTTTCAAAATTTCATGAAATTAAATAAGTGGGGAATAACAGATGTAAAAAAGAAAATAAAAAAATACAAATTGTTTTACCAAGATTTTCTAAAAAAAAAAAAAAAAAAAAAAAAAACACATTCATTTATTTGTGAAGTCCTAAAAGTTTCATTAAAATTTAACAATTATTTGATTTTTGCAAGAATTTCCAAATCAATGTTTTTCACCACAAAAAGATGCTAAAATTTCCTATCCTACTTTATGGTCACCTACAAGAAAAAAAATTTAACTAAAATTTTGAAGATTCTAAGGATTAAAAAAATATAATTTAAATTGAATCAAAAAATTCTTTGTTTTTTTTCCCCCTCTTAATAGAAAGAAAGTTTTTGATGATAAAACTGTTGGGGGGTGGTTATTATGTATGGATATGCTCATTTTTTAGCAAATCTTTGGAGATACCTATAAAAAAAGTGAAATATTTCGAACATCTTCCTGCAATTAAGCACACACAAACAAAAAGGCCTCATTCAAAGTGAGTAAAAACCTAATGACATGCTTTTCTTTGAAGAGGGTAATGTGAATATTCTCTACTAGTCAAATCATTTTCAAATACTACCTGCCTAAACTAAAAAAGCCAAAAAATTTGAAATGGAGTATCACTTTATTAATTTTAATTCCATGTTAATTTTTGTTTGCTTTTTTTATTGAAATTAAGTTTAAGGTGAATGTAAATAAATACCTCCCCCAAAAAAAAAAAAAAGTGATAATCATAGTTGGCAATTCTTGATATGATAAAGAATAAGATTTAAAATATTGTAATAGTGCCTGTCGACGCTACTGGAAAATTAAATAACACTAAATTTATAAGACGCAATTTGAATTAGCGATAGCCCAAAATTTAGAAGGTGTAAAGCAAAAAAAGAGCAGTATAATGAGCTTTTTTCAATAATTTAAATTCAGAAGGTAAATAAATACAATTGGTATATTTACAAGATTAGGTATTTGTTTTTGTTGTTTTTGAAGTAATACTTTTTAAAAACTTATTTTGAAAAATATCGCCAGAGAGAGGCAAAAAAAACAATAAATTTTAAACATTCCATTGCATGTGGCGATGTATACGTGCTTGCCCGCCTGTCCCTCCCCTACTTTTTTCGGCAATCAACTAGTAGCAGTTTCAAAACGTGTGTATATATATTATATATATATATATATAGTGCGATCATTTAATGATCGTTCTGATTAGTCGAATAAAAAAAATGTGATACGAGAAACGAAGACGATAATAAAAATAAGAGTGCTCCCACTGCTCTCTTTGTTCTTGGAGAGTGCATAGTCATACACATCCGAAACAAATACCAGAAACTTTATGGCAGAGAAAGAAAGAGAATAAAGTAAGTTTGATCTAAGCTGAAAAGATAAGAGCTTTGATATTACCACGGGAATGAAAATGTATCCTATTATTTGTTTGCAACAAAAAAAAAAAATGCGTCTTTTCATTATTTTACATTACAATAAACAAGAAAGAGAACACACTCTCTAAAATAGTAACAACGTCCTTCGTAACGGAGCAGGAATAGTCGGGAAAGGTTAGCGCTAAGAAAAGAGGAAATGTACACATAATTATTTAGTCAATTTGGCGGAATGAGTCATTATTTATGCCATCTGTTTTTCCAGCTTCACAACACAACTGTTTTCAAATATATATTTGTTGCCTGTAGAAGTGTAGAGATTCAATCAATATTCAAAAATAATTTTTTTAAAATTCAATTGCCAAGAAAAAACTACAGAAAATTAAGATTAATTTATGAATTTTATACTGAAGAGCACATGTTAAAAACTCCTCATCTAAATGCTGACATCTTTACTTTCAGTATTATTAAAATAAAAATGACGAAGAAATCTAGAACATTTTTTAAAGTTTTTTTAAAGAATGAAGAAAAAAAAGCACTTTTTATTGTTTTAAAATAGTCCTCTAATTTTAACATGTTTCTTCATAATCGTGAAATATTGATGACCAAAGAGATAATCTTATTTTCTACGTTGCAAATTTTGATATAAATCACTTTTATTTTTTCATATGAACTTATTGTCTCTTTTTCTATATATACAAAAAAAGACATTTTTATGGTTCCACTGGGCATCGGTATCGAGAAAAATGGGTCAATGAACATAACTACGTATGCAATTTAGTATACATAACTATTATTTGTAAAACACGCCAGAGTTTTCAAGTAGATTGCGGACTCTAAAATATTAATAGAACGTTTAAAAAGAACATTAAAGAAACATTTTCTCTATAGAAATAAACTTAGATGCACTATATACGGAATAAGTGTGGATCATCATAATTTGTTTATCTCCAACATGAGAGGGTTATGGATGACATGCAAAGACATGGACTGGAGAGTAACAATGTCAGACTACTATTTAAATTAGAGAAGCACAAAATTGCGGAGAAACAAGATTACAAAATTATTGTCAGATTATGCATTTAAAATAAATAACCCACTATCATTATAGAAAGCAATTGAGCGTAGTGCCATGTACGTACATTAGCAAGAGATTTTTTTTTATTATTTATTTCAAGGTAAGCAGAATTTGGAACAACATTTGAAAAAGATAGTCTTCTTGTACATTGTACTGAATGTGAAATAGACATAATAATTAATTTATTACTAGAGAGTATTAGAGAATAAAGGAAAAAATCTACATGAATGATTAAGTGTCCACAAAATGAGGGGTTATTTTATATTTCATATACGACCAAAATTTGACCCCTGATTTCATGGTCATACAATTTTCAATAAAACTCAAAAAAGCAACGAGACGTTATTTTTTTTTTTTCATATAACCAAGAAATATAAAGTTGGTGTACTTTTAGTTTATCTATTTAATTTTTTCATTTGAAAAAATACTTTTTAAAAGAATTGACGGTACTTACTAGTTAGGTAATAATAAGTGCTCCCTACTACAAGTGTCAATAAAATGATTTTTATAAACTACAACTCTTATTATTGCCTTACCATCAGCTTAAAATTAACAATTTCTTAATATATTAAAGATACGATGTTTATTTACATAGAGTAAAAAAAAAAAATACGAACTTGTGCAAGAGAAAAATAACTAACACTAAAAAAGTAAGTAAACTAAAAACAGTCATCCATTCCAGCCGACAAAAGTCTTAAACTAACCATTTTGGACTAAAGTCTAATTAGTCAAACTAACACAAATAAAATAATACACATTTTCCTACAAGTTATTCACAAAAACGTTATTATTCCTAGAAAAAATAAAATAAATAGACACGTTACGGGGGATCAGTTTAGAAAATAAAATTAGTGTCCATCAGTTCCCTGACTTTATGAACAACGCTTTAAAAGGAATAAGCAATGAGGAGCACACAAACACGTTTTTCAAGGCAAAAACAACCACTACTACCACCATACTGAGATTATTGTACATGGATATCTATTTATACTTTAAATACATTAACGTGAAGAGATCTATGGTTATTTATTCTATTATGTAAAAATAGTGTTAAGAAAATGAAAAAAAAACTCATTCAGACACACACCATAAGTAAAAAAAGTTGACCAAGTCCGAAAGAAAGAAAAATAATGGAAGATTCAATTTTAAACACGAGATCATCCAGAATGTTCCCTATAAGAGAATAAAGTTTTTTAACAATTCTAATAACAAGATAAAACAATAAAATATTATAATAAATAAACACTAAATAGTGACTAGATTGTTATTAAAACCACATATACCCGTCACCCGCCGCCATATTTGCCAAAGGCTTGGACAGTTTTAAAAGTAGTTTTCCACCTTGAATTTTTATCCAAATATATTTACTTTGACGTAGGCGTATAGATCTATTTAGACAACAAGACGATTAGAAGAAAGATAATACTGTAAAAATAAACAGAATTGAGTCCGATCTAAACACTCTGCTTTAAAATATCGCTGCAAATATATGTACGTAGTTATGCGTGTGAAAAATGGACAGACAAGAAAGGAAAACATGGTTGAAAAATACTCAGTACAGAACAGCGGTCAAAAAGTGGGGGATCAGTTACTAGTTTATCCTAATAATAAGTTGATCCCCCAGTTATTGTCCATATCATACATGTTTTGCGAAGTTTTGAACAGCCAACTGAAGTTGTTTCTTTGTGTCAAAACACGAGATCCAGGAACAATTGGAAACGAAAATGCCGAATGCTGGAAACTAAAAGGCTTACCTGAGGACTTGAGGAGCAGTGCTCATTTTCCAGAGGCTGGAAATCCTGCGAAACTTCGCACTGAAGTCAGCTAACCATCAGCTATGGCATCCATGGTAGGATACAGGTTGCTGACGCCAAAAGGGAGCGATCATTATTTGAAAACACGGCACACTTTTGCACTGGCCCAGGCTCTTTTCGCGTGTTTAGTGCTACCTTATCTCAAACTGGCTTTGTTTACTGTTAATCGTTTTGATGATACGTCTTTTAAATGTGATATCATTGATGTTATGTCCTGTTTTCGTAATTTATACAAAGAACATTCAGTGATTTTGAATCCTTCCAGCCATCAGTTTTTTTTTTCTTTTTAACTTCTTGATTATTTGTCTGTTAAGACTGCAAACTTCTGCGTGTGTATATTTCTTCAAAGCTCTTTAGAGTTTGGGTTCTTTTTTGTATGTATTCTCTTTTTTCGAAGAAACTGAATTAAAAAAAGGAACATTTTAAGAAAAAATTAAAATATCTTTTCTAGGAATTATTTTTTAAAAATATTATTGAACAATTATTAGCAGTACCACTTTTTTAGGCTACTTCACACCTTTTCTTGCGTAATTGGATAAATTCGAATAAAATGATTTTTCTGTTTAAAAAGAAAAGGTATTATTGATAATGTGAAAGTGAAAACTTAAACAACTCAGAAATATTCAGATTATGTATAAAATAAATATAAATGCATTAAGGATTTTTTTTTTTTAAATTATTCTTTTTTATCAAGTTTGTCAATAAAAATTGAAAACATGGTTTCAGAAAAAAATATTGAAAAAAGGAAAAATTCAATTCATAGGTCATTCACATAATTTTATTTTTATATAGATGTCTCAGTTTTTATTTTAAACTTTATTTTTGATCCATTTCAGTTTGTTTTTTAACCATAACTAATGAACCATAAATGATTTTGACTTTTAAATGCAACTACAATTTATAATGAATGTCCAATATAATTTTTTTATTTTACAGCTTTGCTAAAGATTTTATGAGGATGTGCTAAAAAATCCCCAAATCTGGTCAAACATGAGAATTTATTTTAGAAATGGTCAGAGAACTTTTCAGCACCCCTTGGAGTAACCTTAACTTCTTATTATGCAACAGGTTCACAAATGGAAAAACTCGAGTGAAGGTTAAAGTCATTCACATTATCTTTATGATAACCTTCTTTATGAGCCGTGACCCCTCAGGATGTAGGCAATCATGGCTCTCCACAATTTCCTGTCCTTTGTAGTTCTTAATGAATTTTGTCTTTTTGTTATTTCTCCTAAACCTTGTTCCACCATTTAGTCAAGCTCACTAAGTATGTTATTGTTTTCCTCTGTCTTTCTTGCTTTCAATCTGTCCAGTGAGTATCAGATTTTCCAAACCCTCTTTCTTCATTATGTACCCTAGAAATTTCAACTGTCCCTGTATACGTTTCCTTTTTTTTTCCATTTTCTCTAAAACTTCATCATTGCTCATAATATTTAGTCCATGGTATCCTCAGCATCCTTCTGTAGAACCACATTTTTGTTGCTTCAAGTCACTTTTACATATTTGAGGAGATTGTCCAGCATTCAGTGCCATATAGGAGGACAAATATCACATAACAGTTCAGTACTCTTTTCTTTGGCTATCATAATGCACCTTCAGATTTCAGTATTGCAGTTTCTGTCCTCTGTTAAAACCCTTTCCAAATATTTCAATTTTTGTATTTGTTTGATTTTGGTATCCCTGATTTGTAAATTGCATTTTGTTTTGGGTTATTCCTTTTCCTAACAACCATGCATTTTAGCGATTACCCTGTAAGTTTTAAAAATTTGTGTAAATGTATTTTTAAAAAATCCTTAATTTGTTGTCTCTGGCACCAAACTATACGAGCAGTTCTATGTGTAGCAATTCTTAGGAGTTCAACTGAGAGATAGTAACTACAGCAAGTTCTAACCAGCTACAGACTAAATCTGCACATGAGACTGAACAGTATATCCAGAGCAGTGATGTCATGGTATTGCTGAGCAGAGTGTTTCATAGACTGAAGTCAATGGCCAGGGCAGAGAGTTCCTCCAATGGAATCTGAAGCCACATGTATGTGACCAAGGTGAGCCTTCACATCAGAGGACATTAGTTGTGGTCAGACCTGGTGAGAAATGGTCTCTGTCAGGTCTACTTTGCTCAAGATATGTTATGTATGAATGAATACTGACTGAGACATGGGGAGGAAGCGGATCAGGTAACTCAACTTTGCTGGAATCCTATGATAATGGTGATAATGAATGATAAGCATATAACATTTTCTTAATGAAAAGTGAATTATTGATACAACACAAAAATATTCTTAAAAATGTTTATTGCTTATGAAAATTGTTAAATCACAAAGAAGGAAAAAGGAAACAATGACAAAAATCAATTGCTCATGCCAGACAATTTTACGCATCAGAATCAATCTTGCTCATTTATAAATCTACCAGTCATCTGTGCAGTGAATATTGCTGTCATATCTGGTCTGGTCCTCTGGCCATTATCTTGACAAAATCCAAAGAAGGGTCTGTCATGTTAACAATCCAGACCTGGTATTTTACTTCAGTCACTTTCCCACCACTGTGACTTGACCTCCCTCCATCTTTTCCATAAATATTTTCATGGCAATTGTTCTAATGAGTACTCCTCATTGGTACCTCAACTGCATAAATTAAAGTGTTGATTGGCTAGATTGACAACTAGGTCTTATCATTTTACTATTGAATTAACTAGATGTAACTATAAGTTTTATTCTAATAGATTCTTTTCTTGCACTTCTCACCTGTGGAACTCTCTTCCTGTTTCTTACTTCCCTGCCACCTACAATCTTCAAAAGCTTAAATGCAATGTCAATCATCATCTTCTGCCTTCCTAGATTGTATTCTTTTATTGTCTTTTGTCCTCACTAAAGTCTTCTCATTCTCTTTTACTCTCAGTAACTGCTAGTGTTCTAGTGACATTATTGCCTTTTTTTAGGGTGAAATTATTAAAATAATAAGTGAAATATAATATATTTCAAGTTCCAGTTTGTAATATAGTGATTTTTTTTTACATAGCTCTTATGAAAGTCGTTTTTTATTTATGCTATTATTAAAAGATCCATGTCAATGTATACATATATATACATATGCATATATATACATATATGACAGATGTTGATTGATTAATTTTTTTTATGGCTCATTGACACTTTCTGGGTTATTTAAAGCCAAAAAAAATTTTAGGTTGTAAGAATAATTCTTTTTTTTTTATGCGTGAATATTGTATTAACAATTTTTTGATAATAACAATGATTTTTCTAGATACAAGTTCTACTATTTAACCCATGGTGATAGGGAGACGATAGATTCATACCTTTCCCAAGGCTATTTGTGCATAAGGGAATATAATAAACTCAATTGGAATTTGAACTGAACTCTCAAATTTTTTTTATTCCAAACTGATATCAATTAAACCACCATTCATCTTATATAGCAAATGAAGAGAGATACAGATAGAGAAAAATATAGAAAAATATGAAGAAAAAAATTAATACAAAAGAAATATAAAATCCTGAGCAATGTTTAAACTTTGGAGCACGAAAAAAAAATAGTGTGTCAAAAGGTCACTTTTTTTCTTATTTACAAGATTAATTTTATATTTACAAAATTATAAAAAATATGTGAACCAACAAAGATGCAATATTTATCATATACCATTTTATAAAGAAATGCATTTTTTTATTCATAAATTTATAAAAATTTACAAAATTATAAAAATATATGAACCAATTATAATGAAATATTTATTATTTCCCATTTTATAAAGAAGTTCATTTTTTTATTCATAAATTTATAAAAATTTACAAAATTATAAAAATATGTGAACCAACTACAATGCAATATTTATCATATACCATTTTATAAAGAAGTGCATTTTTTATTCCTAAATTTATAAAAAGTTACAAAATTATAAAAATATGTGAATCAATTACAATGCAATATTTATCATATACCATTTTATGAAGAAGTCCATTTTTTTATTCGTAAATTTATAAAAATTTACAAAATTATAAAAATATATGAACCAATTATAATGAAATATTATTTACCATTTTATAAAGAAGTGCATTTTTTTATTCATAAATTTATAAAAAGTTACAAAATTATAAAAATATGTGAACCAACTACAATGCAATATTTATCATATACCATTTTATAAAGAAGTGCATTTTTTATTCATAAATTTATAAAAATTTACAAAATTATAAAAATATATGAACCAATTATAATGAGATATTTATTATTTACCATTTTATAAATAAGAAATAAATATAAGAAAGTGATTTTTTTTATTAATAAACTTATAAAAATGTCTGTGAACAAGCAAATTTAAATAAATAAATAACAATGAGAAAATAATTAAAAATTGAAACATAAAGCATTTTCCAGACATTTCTTTCATTTGCTCTCACCACATAAATTCGCTAAAATAGGTTGAGAGCATTTCTTTCAAACATTCTTATAATTTTATATTTTAGGCAAAACCACAAATACTCAATATTTTGAGCAGGTATCTTCTTATTCATTTGATGGATAAGATCTTCCTAGTCCTTTATTACATAATGTTTGTAATTTTTACTGGATATTTCTGTTGATTAGGCATCCTTCATTCTAGATCACATTAGAAAAATTGGAAAGTTAAAACAAGATATGAGATAAAAAATAATCTGAGAAGAAAATGTATAATATCCAGAAAAATAGGTTTATTTAAATTTTTTTGTTCTATAATTCACAAACATTTTTGAATAAATGATTTTTTTCATATTTCTCTATAAAATGGTAAACAATAAATCTTTATGAAATGGTACATAATTGCATTGAAGTTGGGTTGCATATTTTTTTATAATCTTTCAAGTATAAAATTAATCTTGTAAATAATTAATCTAACAACTGTGTAACATTTTTTGTTATTAAAATTCTAAACATAGCATTTTAAAACAAACTTCTTCAAGGGAGTATGC